ACTTGAATAATTTTATAAATTTTATACGTCCATTAGTACTAATGAAAACCGCGACCTGCTATTCAAGAACCGTTAAGTAGTCTCGTTATAATAAGTTGTTAGGCCGAATATAATAATTTAAAATAGTCCTGTAAGAAGTCAAACCACTCCCAAATCCGACTTTTGCTCATGCTTGAGAACTCAATATATACGCCCGGAAAATAGTTACTAAAGAATAATTCAGCGGATTATTGATAGTTAAATATAAAGGTACGTGGATTTAGATTAGTACATTAGAACTAAACTCGTAATTAATATCTATGTCACTCGCCTGATATTTTCATAACGTTGCTGTATATCTGTTTTCATAAAGTGCTACATGAAACGTTATAAAAATATTTCATATATAATATAATCAATTTTTATGAGTACGTGGTAGAGCCATGCTGCAGCTATATTAGTACGCTCTCACAGACTCCATCCATTACAGCCTATAAAAGTCCACTGCTAAACGTAGGCCTCGCCCATAGATTGACTGATAGGGGGGATTTCGCCATAGTTGCCACGCTTTGCAAGCGGGCTGGCAACTGCAATTTTTTATTATTTTGGGTAGTAGTCAGGAAGATGCAGCTGCCCATCACCTGTCAAGTAATTTTTCTCTGTCGCCTCTTACGACACCCGCTTTTTAAAGTTACAACTTTCCTCTAGAGAAAACTGGCTTTAAATGTAGCCGCCAAAACCGGTAGCCGAATATGGCCCGGAAATGGGCAGTACGACTTAGAATGTATACAGAACGTCTCAAACTCATTGTTCAAAATTTGAGAATTTTTTTTTACTTTTGTGCTCTACACAGAAATGAGAACGAATATATCGAATTTTTTTAAAAAAATTGGACGGATATTCTTTCGCTAAAGAATTGAATGGAAATGATTTCTTATGAACACATGTTATATCTAAGTATTAATTCGAAAGATTTTTTTAAATAAAAATAATACAGGAACCGACCTCGGGGAGGACATGGAGCAGGACGCTTTGCGAGCGATCCCACTTCGTTTGCTAGGCTCCGGACCGTACATGAAAGGACAGGAAAAAAGTGGGTGAGTGTCGTGGAAAACTCAGTTGGAACGAAGTCTCTTGCGTAGTTTATTATTATTGATAAACGTAGGTGTTATATTATTGATGAACAAAAACAAATAAATGAGTTACTAGCGTCTCTTAAAATGAAGCGTGCTTTGAAATAAAATAATATGTTTTTCATGGCAAGATAAGAAAAAGTGCGAGAGAGATGGATATTATTCCATTTCACTTCCTTATTTCGCCGCCAAGGCCGTCTACACTATGACACAAGGGGTAGTGACGAATAAATCTTACACTTTTTGTCGTCTAGCTCCCATCCGCCAAACCCGTACCATCCGATAAGGAATTTCGTTCCAATAAATTGTAATTTATATACAAATAGAAGTTGCCAACTGCGTATCATACGCTATAAGAACAAAATACGTTTTATTGACCACACTATTTATAACTATACAAGCAGAAATTAAATAAACGACACGGGTTTGCCTCTTGGGATGATATGTGGTAGTGTTCTCTTACATAGTACAATTTAACTAAATAACAAGGGCAGAAAAATAGTTGACAAAAATGATTGCGTCTAGAAATAACTTATGCTAAGCTTAAGCAAATAAAAAGTATAGTACCTACCTAGTAAAGATGATAAATTTTTCACAATATACCGACCAAATAAAACAATATCGTGTAAAGATGAAAAACAAAACTACGACAAAAAATTAAGGCGAAGGAATTAGATATTAAAAATGGTAGGCCTCTTTACCTGCCACTTCGATAGTCGATCCGAGATCATAAATTCTTTTAGGTAATGTTCACATTTTAGAGCTCATTTTTCTTTCTGATTAATTTTGATAGATGTTGTTTAAATAAGGCAGCCCCCCACTACACGGAGTGACTAGTAATTTTAATACAATATTAAAAATAATAGTTTAATAATTAAATAAATAAATTGACTTTCCAATCGCACGAAACCATCTAATTTAATATAATATGTATTACTTGAGAGATACATTGTGTTTTCATGCGATGGCCAAGTCAATCTATTTATTTAAAATATAAAAGATTTTTAGTATTGATGTGGTCACTATTAGATGTTGTTAGGTTAGCTAATTACGTAATAACTTAAGACAAAAGGACCCTTAAGTAGGGACTGAATAAATTAACCGACTTGGTATTGCAATAATCTCACAACTTTTTACGGTAGAAGAACTTAGTTGCGAGACTTGGTTTTTTTTTTACAAGTTATGTTTTTGATGGCATCTCATTTCTTTTTGTAGATAGTTATATCTAGGCACCTATCTACACCTATTATTTCAATATATTATACATATATAGGTACACTGATTCATTCACTGCAAATGTAACTTTGTAATCCTATATATTTATATGGGATTACAAATTTATTTATGCACTTGGTGTATCTCGAAAACTGGACCGAAATTGCAAAATATTTTAATTTTTCATTGATTTATATATTAAACAGTAATTGTATTCCAAATTTGAAGCTTCTATGTGTGCTAGAAGTGCCTTAGAGTTTTGATGATCGTTCAGTCAGTGAGTGACAAAATTAAGAAACTTTGACTAGTTTTATTTCTTAAACTACTAGTTCAAATTTAATGAAATTTGAATTATACTCATTTTATACAATGTATACTTGGTTAGTGAAAATTCAAGCCTCTAGTTTCGTTCCACAACGAAGTTATAGGGTTTCGAAAATGGCCTGAACTGCTTCGAGAAAAGGATGGTACGGCCGTGCCGCTTTTTTGCTCGACTTGGCGGGGCGCTGCCGTGCCCCCTGATATATAAAATGACTTTAATTATTTTTCTATGATCTTTCAAATAAAAACTGTATTGTGTGTTTTACGTTTCAGTAGGGTTCTTCGGCTTGAAATTTTCGTGTCATACAATAAACAATATCATGACACAGTTTATTCATGCTGATTAAAAGTTATTATTAATAATTGTTAGGTATCATTCTCCTTAAAGCTACGAGCAAAGAGTGTTTAGGCTCGGGAAGAACAACTCGACAACGGCGTTTTTACCAATACCATGTCATCTGCTTGATACTGAGGTGATAATTGACGCCGATTGTCTTTAACTGCTTTTGCCCTACCTTGATTTAGTTCCGACTTATCACGGACTTCATCGAGTTGTTTAATAATATTACCTAGATATGGCGTAATCTGAGGAACGAAGTTTTCTTTGGAGAGTATTGCCCTCAAATCACGCTGTGAGTCGTAAAGCGTTCGTATCTCTCGAATAAACATTAAAAAGGCTTGGCTACAGCCAGTTGTGGAACACTTTGTAGATTTCATAGAAAATATAATTTCGGGCAGATACTTAGGCCACGCTCTATGATTGTTCTGGACCAGAATCGAAAGTTGTGTTTTGAGATCTCTGTTTTTTCGTTCGGCCGGATTCGCTTCCGGGTGATAGAGAGGAATAAGATTTTGCTTAATATCAAGAAGGTGCATAGTTTGTTGCATAACAGCTGATACACACTGTACTCCATTATCAGAGACAATTCTCCTATAAAACCCATATCTAAGGAAGTATTGTTCGATAAGTATTTTAGCGGTTACTTCTGCAGTTGCTTCTTTAAGTGCAAACATTTCCACCTATCGAGTAGCAGTATCTTCTATAAGGAGGATCCATTTTTCTCCAGATTTTCCTTCAGACAGTGGACCATAAAATTAAAACTTCGCCTCGTTGGTTTTGTACGGGAGTCTGAAGTAGTCCTGCTAGCTTTTGATTGGAAATCCTATATCTTTGACATTCTTCACAATTTTTAAGATATTTTGTAAAAAATTTTCTCATTGAAGTAAAATAATACTTCTATTTCAGACGTTGCAGCGTTCGTTCCAGACCCTGATAACCCGCAGTCGGTATATAATGTACCTCTTGCAGAATGCTCGTTCTCATCTCAGCGGGATTGACTAATTGGGGCTCCTCGGCGTCTGATTCCGGACTTAAACGGTAGAGAACACCTTGTGACATTAAATAACCGCGTTCAAGCCATCGACTAGAAATTATAATATCTGTATTCTCTAGATCCTGGACTATTTTCTTAATTTTTGGGTCAGCCAGTTGGGAAACAGTAGTTACGTTAGGCTTGCCCGAGGAACATCTATGGTCACTGAACAGGCACTACAAGCATTGCTGTCATCATGCACAGAGTATGATTGAGTGTATCTGAAATGACATTTGCTTTTCCTGGTGTGTATTCAAAACGAATATCATAGGGTTGTAATCTTAAAGCTAATCTGACGAGTCAGCCACTAGGTGATTTAAGAGACAGGAGCCATTTTAAGGGTTGATGCTCACTTTTACTGTAACTGGATGACCTTCAATTCATGGTCGAAACTTTTCAACTGCCCTTAACTTAACTATTACGCGTTCGTCAGGATGCTCACCTTGAACCTGCATGAGAGCTGCACTAAGAGCATGATAGATTGCGTCAGTTCGTACCAAAAATGGAAGAGTGTAGTCGGCTTGTATTAAAATAGGGGAATACGTAAGGTTTATCTTCAGTTCATCGAACGCCTCGCGCTGGTTTTCACCCCATGTCCATGGTTCATGCTTCCTGGTGAGCTTAGTAAGAGGCTGAGTAATCCCTGAGAAGTTTTGTACAAATCTACGAAATCAAGCGCAGGACTGTAAGAAGTTTTGAGCTGTTTGACATTAGTTGGTTCCTTCATAGTGAGTATTGCTTGATCTTGGTGTCATCAGGCTTAATTCCTTCAGGAGTCCAGAAGTGATCAAAATATTTCACCTCTGTACAGGCAAAGGAGCATTTCTCACTATTTGCTCAAAAACCAAATTGCCGAAGACGATCAAATACCAATTGTAAATCTTCCATATGTACATCTAGATTTCCTTCCGAAATTACAAGGAGGTCGTCTAAGTACGCCAAGACGACAGAGTCCTTTAAAGTACCTCCGGATCGATATCTATCCATCAGTCTCTGGAAAGTTGCTGGAACATTTCATTTTTAAGCCAAAAGGCATGCGCGTAAAACGAAAGGTACCAAACGGTGTAATAAAACATGTTTTGTCACTATCTTTTGGCGCCACACTTATTTGCCAGTATCCTGACCTAATGACAATAGTGCTGATAAAACAATGACGTTTGGTGCATTGAAGTAGCTTGTCAATTGAAGGAAGAGGATAAGTATCGGTTTTAGTAATACTATTAAGTTTGCGGTAATCCACACAGAACCTAACAGTGTTATCTTTTTTAGGTATCAAGACGGCGGGTGAGGGCCACGTGGATTCGCATTCATTGATTAATCCTTCTTGTAACATTTTCTCCAATTCTGCTTTCATTATTTCTTTCTTTGCTGGTGTCAACCGGTAAGGCGGGGCTGATATATGTGGATGATCACCAGTATCAATATAATCTTCGGCATATGTTGTGCACGCTCCCCCTAGACTAAATATATCTGAATTCTCTTTCAGCAGGTTACCTAATCTATGACGGGCTTCAAAGTTAAGCATTGTAGCTGCATTCCCACGAAGAAAATCTACAGAGGCACAAGACTCAAAATGGCTTAAAGGTTCGAACTCCAGTAAATACATTTTTGGGTCGTTCGAAAATTTCTAGGTGGAGGCAGCAAAATCCATACTTATACCTGCAGCTGTAAGGAAATCTATTCCTAACAAGGTTTCATTATTTTCAGCGTCTGGTATAACAACAAAATCGAGTGCGACTTGCTTTCCTGGTTTTATGTTTACCTGTACGAGTAAATTCGTTATTAGTACCTGGCGTATTTTAATCGAACCATCAGCTAGTTTAACACGCATTGAAATACTAGTGAAGTGCTGGTATTATTCCAGTAGTAGAGAGTACAGCTGAAAACCGGCTATACATATTTTCGCTGCGGTATCTAGCGGTATATCTTTTTTTATTTGGAAGTTGGTGCTTCTCATGTAGTCCTTTATGCATTTTGATTAATCCTTAATAATTCGTATTTATTTCACTTCGATTACTTTGCTGATGTTCTAATTTTATTTATATTAAAGTAGGTAGGGACAATAAAAAAGGTGTGTAGGGTGCGGCGGCACAACGCGAGTCGCGGTGACCCACAGCGCCACGCACTTGTGCTCTGAGCCCGGGCAGGCGTAAGACGCGCGAGCTGCGTGGCGCGCTGCACGCTCTGCTCGGGTCGGTAAGCGCGCTCGCGCCCGCGCTGCAGGCGGTGCGCTGCTGGGCGCTGCACTATGTGCGTCAGTACGCACACTTATACACATGTTACATGTACACACACACACACACACACACACACACACACACACACACACACACACACACACATACCGTTGCCGTTACTCTTACAACCTATTAAAGTCTAGTGATCAACATAGCCCTCCCCTATTGCCACAGTTGCCACGTTTGACATTTGGGTGGGTAACAACAGGTTTTTAATTTTTAGTCGTTATTAGAAGAATCTGCTGCAAACTTCCTGGTTTATTTCCATGTGTCGCCTCATACGACACCCGTGCCATGATATGCGGTAGTGGATATTCTTGCAACGCCACTACACGGTACACAAACATAGGTGCACACACGCATAGACACAACTAAAATTGTTGTTAAAAGAATACACAAGTTTTAGAGGGAAATGAATCGTGGACAGATTTTTGCTCCTATTATTGTAAAAATAACGGATTGAAGTGGATTTTAATATGTAAAAGTAGTGAGATCTTGTGTATTAAATATGTACAAATGTAACTATTAGTGAAAATAATGAAACCTGTACTCCGATGGTGATGCAAACCTCAAGTTATTTTTTCTGCTTGCGTGATTTTATCATCATAGGTTGGCTCAAGCTGCCGTCAAAATCTCACAAAAAACATAGCAATGTGACACATCAATCCTTAAATATATTTAGATTTTTTTTTAAAGCAAATCATTTTAAAGTTATCGCTTGACGGTGGCAAAAGTATAGCCTTACGAGTCCTAAGAAAAAAATAATACACGTCTTTTGCAAATATCCATTTAGAATAAATAAAATAGCATTGGTGGTCACAGATACTATATTGTGATAATAGAAATGTTTTGAATTCAAAGTTAGCTCTATAAACTTATAAATCATTATCAATAGATTATGTTGTTTATTATTGTGTCATTCAATTGTATGCCCTCGATTTTAGCCTTTATGCTATGCTACTCATTTAAAGACCATACTTACATACACCGTCACCATCATTACAGCCCTTCACAAGTCCACTGCTATGTTCAGCAAGAAACGCCACAAAACTCACTCACTTTCAAACAGTTTACTCATAAGAATTAATTCTTCTCTTTCCCTTTCAAGAGTACTCGTGTCTCCCTTAAACTATATCTTTATTCGTCTTATCGAGCTCGTTCAACGTTCGGCTTATCGAGCTCTTACCAAAGGCGATACCTCCTATATATTTTCATTTGTACCTACTTCTTTCTACAATAGCTTTATGTCTATGTAGATGCTCCGTCACTTGTAATTAACACAGTCAGGAAGATAAATAATTTGCCAGAGTTTGCTTTTTTTTTCGCGTGCGTTTATTTCTTGGATATATCTACAAGCATGGTTTATAATATTATTATACTTTTGAGACTGTTGTTTTAAACTATTCCGCGAACTGTTCACGCTGCTTGGAGCAGATCATAAGTGTTTAGCTTGATCAGCCGCATCCTATCACACGGTGAAGACGGCGCTCATGAAGAAGGCGTGCCCGGTGCCTTGCATGAGTTTTCACAGCTATATCAATAAGGTAATATTAGTTAAACATTGAAAGCATTACTGGAAGGTGTATAAAAATCTGTTATAGAATTTTCAGTTTTATATTAGTATGTTTAATGAGATATTTGTGATATTTAATAGAATTTAATTTATTTATTAATATATATATGCGAAGTAATTATATAATTAAATATTACACTTCCCATAACATCCGTTTTGGCTATAAAAGAAATTGTTTTAAGAATATTACTGTAAACATTGAAATTAAGGCGAAATTTCTATGAACTCTTATTGTTAATATTGTATTCAAATTACTATTTTATATACGTTATAAGTTTTAGTAAAGGTCTCCACACTTGCTGACCATCTATATGGATGTAAACAAAAGATAAGAATTGTTTGTGAAAGAAAGAAATCTTTGTGTCTTTGGCGGCCGACTCCAGTCGCAATATCTGCATGGGATTTCTAGGAATTTGTTGCAAATGATTCATTAAGAATAGTCGCTACACCCGAACTCGGCGTTACATCCAAAGTCGTTATTTTCAGATTAAAATAAAAAAAAATAACATGTCTAAATAAGTTTCGGTTTCGATTTCAGCCGAAACTGACACCCGGACCGAAGGTTCGTTTTCGGTTTCGGTTGAAAATCCTGTTTCGGTCGGACCCTAGTTATAATATATAAAACCCGACTTGGTTTTATATATTAAGATAATATGATAAATTAAAATGAATCGTACAAAATTTTGCACGCACTGCGTTATGAAACTGCAAATGGAGAGTGAAATATACATAGGAAATAGACATGTATCAATTATGAAGGATTCGTTCGTTTGAACTGGGACACTTTAAAGGTATTGATGATTCAACTTTACAAAACTATTTTGCCTTTCGTGGATCGTGGCACATGTTTATGAGATACGAATACTGTCAATTAATTATTTATTTAATAATATATCAAGATTTCAAATATAAACCCTAACACACAGTTTATTTAAAATTCAGACCACTATGTAATCAATTTAAGTATGAACAGTAAAATAACGTAGGTATTAATTTGTCGTATTTGTTTATTTTTGAACGAAAACTTTAATATAAATTGGTCGGTAAGCTATGAAATTGTGTATTCTTATGAATAAATTGGACAAACATGATAACTTTATTCAATATCATTATTTATTTTATTTATTTAATAAAATTGTTTATTTTTAAATAAATTAAAAATAAAATAAATCAATTTTTTGTGGTTACGCCATCTAGCGTAATTTATACCTACCACCTTGAGAGTCCATCGGTTTGGGTTCGATAAAATAATTAAAACTATAGAAAGATGTATAAGGCGATATTTATTATGAAGCAATTTTACTGGAAAGAAAATATTATTTTGATTTCGTACACTAAAGTTTAGGCTTCACATATCTAAAAATAAGAATTGTAACATTTATTTGGTTGAAAATTATATTAAATAATATTATAGATTATATTAAATCTGAAAAACAAAAAATGCCGTTCATACCTTATAATAAGGTAATGGTGGTTAAAAATCCGATAATTTCCAGAATATTACCTCTATACTACCTCTACATGCGACCTCAATAATCTTTCAGCACCTAATTAGCACTTAATTTTTAGGCACTGATAACATCGATCACTAATTTTTTTATTAGTGATCGATGACTGATAAAGAACAAAAAATAACGTTCATACATTATGGCAAGGTAATGGTGGTCGTGGAACCTTTAATTCCCAGAATAATATCTTAATCTATATCGGGTCTCGATAATCGCTCAGCACTTAATTAACACTTAATTCCTTGCTATTAATATTTATCGTGTATCTAGTAACGTCATTGCGTTGCTAGCTTGCTAGCGAGACGTTATGCCAGCAACGCAAATTTCAATGGTTCGTTGCGGTGAAAATTTTGGTGCAACTAATTTTTAAACTTGGTACCTAATTAACACCTAAAAAGTCTCTAATGTGGACATTTTCTGAAAGCAATTTTGATTCTATTTTGATTTTCAGGAAATCTAAAGTTTGCCTCTGCTATGTTCTGAATAACGACTTTATTTTTATTAGGGGCGCCCTGTTATTGCGTATACTTGCAGCACCTAATTAGCACTTAATTCCTTGCTATTAATATTTTTCGTTTATCTAATAACTTCATTGCGTTGCTATCGAGACGTTTTGCTAGCAACGCAAATTTCAACAGTTCGTTGCGGTAAACATTTTAGAGCACCTAATTTTTAAACTTGGCACCTAATTAGCACCTAAAAAGCTCCTAATTTTGGATTTTTCCAAATGCAAATTCCCGACTTTGCGTTGCTGGCGAGACACAACTCTAGGCGAGGCCTATGTTCAGCAGTGGAGTATTTGCTGTAACGACTCTTTAAACTACTGAATAATTAATGAGTAAATAATGCATGACTTGTACTAATTATTAGTTCTTAATACAAAAAAATAAAAATCGGTTATTTTTAAAATGTTTATTGTTTAAAAATTCTTTACTTAATTATTGATTAACATTAATTTAATTAAATGAATCAGGCGTTACTTTGCAGAAATCTGAAATGACTTAGCGGTTAGCCACCGTAGAGTGTATATCACCTGAAGATGCCTCGTGTAGAGGCGAAACACGTGTCGTATTATCGTCAGTGGTGTGTCTTGCCTAGTGTAGTGGTGTTGGGAGTAGCGGTGCTGGGATTAGTGTTGACGGGGATAGTGCACGCAATTGAGGAAGGGCGGGAGGTGCTCTTCATATTAGGTAAGACACATCATTTTATTTAATAACGCGGATATTTGCGAAGTAAATTTTTATAAAAAGCTTTTATAACATTAATTTTATTATGTTTTATATCATTTATATTGTGCAAATATTGTTAAATTTAACAATATTTGCACAATATAAATTGATTTCTTTGTATAATGTCTCTACTACAGGGCTAGTATGGGCAGGAGACAATTTTATCCCTGGGGAAAGGAGAAAATGTTTATCCCCTCGCTTAGTTTTATTCACCCTTCGAGCATGGGTATGGTTTATGAATATAAACTTAAACCACGTCTAATGAACTTGCTGTGGATATACTTATACCTTTCAAATGTCAAAAAAACATATATTTTTTTGTTATGCTATGGACGGGGGATATATGTATGCCTACTCGTTGTGTCAAGCGGGGATATACTTCTCCCCGTTGCCGTGATTTGACATAAGGACGAGATAATTTTATCTCTTTTCAGTGGATTTAATCAGCCCATGCTAGCCGTGCTGGTTAGTAAATATCTTATATTACAAAAAATAGAATAGTATAATTTTTATTGAATATAGATTATTACATAATACTTATTGAAAGTCATTTTTTATTTACCACTTGTTCGGTAAATACCTCTGTCATGGGAAGAACCAGTAAGAAACCCAGCGGGACTTTAATAACATATTTCACTTTATAATAATTTTGTTTGTACTCTTTTTAAATAAATTTTAATATCCAGCATGGTGGCGATCACCGCTTTCCCAGAGATTATTTTCATTGATGTATTCTGTAATATTATAATAACACTTTTTGTACATTTTTCCTTCAATAAAACATTTAAACTTGTTTATTGACAAACTTTGTACATTTTCTGGGATTTTGTTGTAAAAGCGTATGCCCCCCATAAATGAATTAACAATTCTGTTGAGTCTAGTAACTGCTATTACAAGCTTATGTTTGTACCTAGTAGATGTTTAAAGTATGAACATCTTTATTCTTATCAAAGCTATTTATGTTTTAATGTATGTACATTCATTACATTTTCATAAATATATTGCGATGCCAAAGTTAATATGTATATTTATTTAAATTTTTCTCTAAGGGACTCTTTACAATTTAAGTTATAAACTCTTCCCCATTTAAGAGCTCATTGGTATTTGGAACCTCACCAAATTTTTGCTAATCTTCCCAAAGAACAATGGCAGACTTTCATACATAAAATTAGTTGAGAAGGAATGGTAGCATCTATATATCAAAAATATCTTAAAATGTCAAGCGTCAGTCCCTTAATAACTCTGTCAAAGAATTTTGTCCTGCGAAGGAGTCAAAATAAAGATATTTAGATTTGAACCTTTTTAAGTTATGTCTTATGTCACTTGGAAAATGTCATGGTTTTTATTTATTTATGTACTTTTATGTATTTATTTTATTATATTGATATCTATGTATATTTATCATTTTCATTTAAAATTATATATTTAAACAGCCCAACCAGATGAGAAAACTATATAGATACCCCACATAATAATAATGTCAAAAATAATGCACTCTATTTCCTTACTCCCATAGTTCAATGGGATGGTATTTCGTCTGGAGAGAGAAAACGCGGCTTAACGCGCTATCCACGGCAAGGGGGTGAAACACTGCCAATTTCCTAACTCCGTCCTGCTGCTGAGACTTTCTTGATAGAAATATCCAATAACAGATTTTGGCCCGATCCGGTATCTCATGATCAAAATCCTATTTACGACGCTAGACCAACAGAAACAGAAACTTTTTTATTCGATATAGATTATAAATAATACTTATTGAAAGTCACTCTTTTGTTTAATTACCACTGGTTCAGAAAAACCTCTGTCCTGAGAAGAACCAGCAAGAAACCCAGCGGGACTTTTTTTTAAATAACAGCTTACAATCATGAATGTTACACAATACACAACTCAAAAAATTAGAAATAGCTTGGTAGCGATCACCTCATTCCCAGGGGTTATTATCATCCATAAATTCCTTAATATTATAATTACCCTTTTTGTACAAACTTTGTTTAATAAAGTTTTTGAACTTTGAGCAGATCAAATTTCGTATATTTTCTGGAATTTTGTGGTAAAAACAAAACGAGGCAGTCAAGTGTCATTACAATAATAAGGAATAAATTAATGTATTTTAATTAAAGTATACATGGGTCGACTCGACCGGGGAAGGACCACGCTCTCACAGAATATCTGCGTAAAATATAGCAGCTTAATGCTGCTGTATTTTATACGGTGAGTGTAGAGGACCACATGCTCTTTTTACTGGATACAAGGCATTCCATCTTAGTCCTCAGGACAGACAATGCATATGTATTTTGATTCTTAATCGAGGATAGATGTAGATGTCTATGGGCCACAGTATTCACTTACCATTAGGTAGCATGTGTGCACGCACGTAATTCATGTAGATACTTGTATATTATTTTTTTTATTTTAATAAGTATTAAGTAATAATTAATGTTAAAGAAAATTATTATATGCTAAGGATACACCAACTGACATGCATAGTATTATTAAATATTTGCCTCCGCGCCACACTCGAGCAGAGTTCATGAGGGTAGAACTTATACCTTATAATTGATAATACTGGTCCCTATCACTACTCAGTTGAATCTGTATTAGGTATTTTTAAAAGACCCGTTTATTGCCTATTACACTTGTTAATTATCAAGGTTTGACTGAATTCTGGACAAACTTAGTCCGGAATTCATACTACTATGTTAAATGCTAGAAAGAATCTCTTCCTGATAGATTATATTAAAACCATCAGAAGTATTTTTTTATATGATAAGGATGACCAGCGAGCACACAGTCCACCTGATGGTAAATGGATTCTGTGTCCCATAGATATTTCTGCAGTCGCGATATGTGTAGCCGCGACATTAAGCCTCTAAGATTTATCGAAGTTTTATAAATTGTTACATTACGCAAATATTTATGCTAATGATTATATTTTCATTTCAGAAGGCTGGAAAACACTCGTCGACTACGTGGAATTTTTAATAGAATAAGCGATGTCGAAGTACTGGGCGGTTGGGTGGTTTGCGGTGCCTTGCATTATCACTACGTTTGCGACGAGGTGGACAGTTGCGTCGCTGATTGATAATGCAAATTGGACAGATAGTCCGTGGGAAGCTGTTGTTCTTGTGTCCACCGCTGCTGTTTCTTTCTCAATATTCACCGTCTTTGCAGTCGTGTCAGTGGCGAAGCAGGTGCAATATCACGCAGTTGCGGTAAGCATATTTGGCATTCATTAAAATTTCGAAGTATACAACTAAAATTTTTCTGAAATGTTTGTTTAAATTTTCTTTAATAATTAATGGCGATGTTTCAAAGTGACTGTGGTTTTATTTACCTTCAGCATAATGCGAATGTCTATTATATTTCCTTGCGAATAAAAGCCAAATTTTTCCCTAAACAAAATTTAACCAAGGACAAGACCTTGTTGACTCTACATCTTGTATATCAAATGTTTCCTTATTATAACGAATTAACTTGGATGCGATGTTGAGGAAGTATCCATTGTTTGTCAACAGAAGTTGCAGTCGTCATTTAAGCCATCAAGACACTGGGGGCAAGGGATCCAGTTACGCTCTATTATTCACTGGCGCGCCGTGATGAGTTGGAACGCAATTTGCGCAGAACGAGATACAGACGTCATTTGGACCAGTTTTCCGGATACGCACGTTTTTTTCACGTGCCAGATACGAGCACCAAAGAAACTCCCGTTGAGAATAAGAGACGTACAAACTCTGATGACTGGTTATACACTGTATGTAGAACGAAATATTTAGGAGAAATTTGTCCACAGTATATAAAGGAAAATAAGCAACGATCGAAATCGTTAGATTGGTCATTGTTTTCTAATTTTAAAACAAAACATACTGCTAATGTTTTGCGTATTCCTAAGGTCATTGGTGTTACCTGCGAATTAGCTTTACTGGGGCAAGAAACAAGTAATGACGTTAAAAAGCAGGTACAAAATGTTTGTGCCAGATAAACTTGTGAGTTTTAATGTGTTTTTAAGCCTAGTCATAATCTGGTAATTATATAAGTTTGTATTTTGGTTTTAACAGAATATAAAAATATGTATAATTATTGTATTGTTTAAATCTCGCCCTTGATTTTGATATGACGATTTAGAATAGGTAGTATTTTTATAAATGGAAATTTTATCATCATGGTCATTATCATGGTCATTATCATAATCATCATCATCACCATCATCATAATCATCATCATTACAGCTCTTCACAAGTCCACTACTGAACACAGGCCACCCCCAAGGTATGCCACAAAACACGGTCCTAATCCACCTGCTTCCATCGACTTTCTGCGTCTTACCAGGTCGTCATTCCAAATTTCCTTACAAATTTATTTACGTGCTTGACTACAAACCCACTTGGTTATTTGTGCCTAATGTATGAAAGGGACTAGCTCCTGACATACAGGATTCCTAGTTCAGGAGCTAGGGCTCAATCGGAACAAGTGTAACATTTATTTGAGTTCTAATAAAGTATTATTAAAGTACTTGTGGTGGTTAAATGGTGACGAAGTCTTAGAAGCTTTCCCTTCTTTTTTCAAAACTAAAACTTCTCCTCACTTGGACTTTCTCCTGCATCGTCGGGGCAATTCACATACATAAATTCCACAAGAACGAAGTTCTGATCCGGAACAAATATTTGTAGGCTATACAATTACCTGTTCCGTGCGGGATTCGAACCTGCTGCCCTTAGCGCTTCAACTCATTGCTAAGCCACTACGCCACGGAGCCGTCAGTACTAAATGCTGATTAACAGTACTACTGACTTGAGATTGGTTGAGAAATATTTTATTTTCTTTATATCACTTTAATAGAATATTTTTAACTTCATAAACTATTAACAAAACTGCTACTAATCTTCAAAGTGGAGTTATTATAATGTTTGAATTATAGAGTAAGTCTGCAAAGTACACAGGCATTGCGAATATACGAGATGAAACTGTCTTTATGTGTTTTAATAAATGTAATACGTCATGTAATGTTATACCAGGATTGGATGCTATACCTAGTAACAACCTTTATACGTACCACCGGTGGGCGCAGGCTTCTCATTTCTGAGAAAGTTTTGGAGCAATCAGTCCGCCGCGCTGTTGCTATGCGTGGGCGGACAGTTTATGGTCGAATATTTTGTTATTTAGACATGCAGGTTTCCTCGTGAATTTTTCCTTCAAAACTACGCGTGAGCACGTGGTGGGTCAGTACTTAAAATTGTAATTACTTTAAGGAAGATGAGTCAAATGAATATGCGGCTCACCTGATGGTAAGTGATCCCTTTAGAAAGGAGTTTTTAATATAAGAATTAAAATATAGATTGTTTCATAAATAAATATTCACTAGTGTCATTATCCAGGTAGAAAAAAGATGAATAGGTTTCTATGGAATAAATGCAGTCCGGATATGTTCTTGGGTAATAAATCCTAAAACCGATATTTAGTAGCGAGATTCAATGGCTTTTTCGTGTGGTGAGTTCGTGCCGGCGGGCGCAGTGCAGAACGACCCTCTTCTGGTTTGTGGATGCTGGTGGCCAGGCTGGTTTGTGTTAGAACCCGTAGAAATTTGCAGCGTGTATGTTTCGTGTATATTCTGTGGCTATGCGCTATATTACTTTGTGTTCTTATGACCATCGTAATACTTATCCTTCATAGTTTTATCTTTATAGAACATGAAAGCAAAATAACATATCACAAACTCTATCACCCAAAGGGATAAGCAGAGAGTCTTCCATTTGGCTTGATAACTCTTTCGCTTCTTTCATACTAATATATCTAAGCATAGTTAGTAGTGCTCCTCAGTTAAGTACTTTTACTTTGGCAACTTTTAAGTAGGTATGAAGGTGTTGTGTTTGTATTTTTTGTTTTTTACTGTAGATACTAAATATCTAAAATAAATTAATAATTACTATTTAAAATTTAGAATACTGATGCAAAAATACTGAGCGATTATTTATTCATAAATTTTCTTGCAGTTTTTTTTTATATATATATTACATAATTTGCCGACCAAGAAAATGAACCTCAATACTAAATAAACATTTAGTTCTATCGCTTCCATAACAGAATTGTTCAGACTAATTCTAAGAGCTAAATCTCACCATTGCATATCCGGCTGTTCGGCGATTCACCACTGTGCGATTTTTTTTTTAATAGAATAAGGGTGAACCGGCACATAATACACCTGATGGAAGTGGATACTGTGGCCCATAGACCGTAACCACGTACATTTATTCTCCATTAATTTAAAATGCAGATTCGTCGTCACTCTTGAGGATTAAGATGGAATGCCTTGTACCCGTACAAGAAGATAGACGCTCTAGACCTGAGTATCGAACTGTATCTATTTTTGTACTAAATAGCTACTGTCGTAATGAAGAAGTGAGAAGAATGAATATGTTGTCTTTAATTAATGTAATCGGTTTTACCGTTTTAATTGAAGTAATAATAAATAAATAACTAAACAGTACTTAGAATCCTACACGAACATTTGGATATGAATAAGTGTAGTGCTAGGTGAGTCCCAAAACTACTTTCAACACAAGAACAAGGGAAGTGCTGTGCTCAGTTCTTGACCCTTTGTGAAGGCCGACAGAAAGACGTTCTAATTCAATTGTTACGAGTGACAAAACCTCTTTATAATGATATTCTTTCAAAAAAGGAATCAGGTGACTTCTAGATGAGGTCTCAGATAAATATTATGGCTACGATCTTTTTGGATTCTGAAGGAATTTTACTAATAGATTTTAAAGAACGCAACACAACAGTAACACGTCATTTCTATGCTTCCTTGCTACATCAATTGCGAGATGCTATTAAAGAAAAACATCGAGAGAAATTGTCGCGAGGAGTAATTATTGTTAATGTTGCTATTGAGTTGTTATTGCTTCATGACAATGCTCCAGTCCATATATAAGTAACGCGGTTTCACTGAGCTCGACCATCCACCATGTACGAGATCATCGTAAGACCAGATCCGACTTCGTCCAGTTACATTATTTATTCCTAAATTTGAAATCAGACTTACGAATAAAAAATTTAACATTAATGAGGTTAATTCAGCAGTTTTGTCATATTTTGAGGGCAAAAATTTAGACAATCTGAGAAAATTTTATTTATATAAAGGGCGATTATATCTAAAAACAATTATAGTGGTTTGAGATTTCTCCTTCATTTTATAGTTCAGGCCAGAAACTTTTGGACCTTACTATAACTTTAACGTTAAGCGAGGTGTCATGACGCGCGGCTCAGACGCGTAATATACGCATTAATATAATATACGAAACAATGAAAAAATATTGCACACATCGAACACGAAGCGGGGTGGTTGGACTCTACTGTCGAAATTTTTAAATCACTTGTTTCACTCAAATTAGAGTGTGTTTATTAATTTACATCGCACTAATATGTATTGGAAAGCACATGATTAGAAAGAGGAAACACTAATGAACATGCTTGATGCTTTTTTTTTTAATATTCTACAACACGTATTATTATACAAAAAGTCCTATCGAAAAATTATATTGTGGATTATGAATTATATTGTTGGAAAAATTTACTTTGCCAACATCCGCTCAATAAAATAAAATGATGTGTCTTACGGTGCTTACACATTATATAACATAACATGTTATAAAACTTTATATAATATGTTTCAGTAATGTGGAGGCTGATGGTTATAAAACGTGTCATATAATGTGACACAAATGTTATATAACTGGAACGGTAGAATGACAAACGACAATGTCATATAACATTGTTATATTTCATTGTTATTCTAATGTGTACAGTATTGTTATATGTTGCAATGTAGAAAAACAATGTTACATAATGTGGACGTGTTATAAAACAAAAGTTATACAACATGTTACTTGATCTGTACGCACCCTTACTCTTACCTAGTTAAAAGCACTCATCCCAGCACCACGAGGTCTAGAGCTGCTCTTCGAACTAGGTAAGACACATCACTTTTATTTTATAGAGCGGATGTTGGCAAAGTAAAATTTTTCAACTTTAATATAAAGGATTTCCACAAAGTAACACCTGATTCTATTAATTATATTGTGAATGTCCTTTAGTCTGTGGTTCATAAATATTCTGTATACAAGATAATTTTTTTTCACTATCTTCAGAATCATGTAGAGCTGGTTTCTTGCGATAATCACTTCTGTAATCCATTTAAAATATAACATAAGCGTTTTATTATTTTGTCTGACGAGTCAATAAGGTCTGAAATGTAGATATATTCAAATATGACGTAGTTTTATATATTTAATCGATTTTCACTGCACTTCAGCGCGCACACTCACTCTTACATTTTCCTATGTAGTAGTAGGTACGTAATTTCCGGCGTAGTTGTGTGAGTTTGTGTGATAGAAGTATGGTTTCCTAGTAAGTTTAAATTTTATTTTGCCGCGTTATTATAGGTTATACTCTTCACACATTACTTTTTGGTAAAAAAGTAATGATCGTCACGTATTGAAAACGGTAAAATATGGTGTTTACTAGAAAATAAATTGGCTGTATTTAAGATGTTGACGTTAGAAATAAATATTTGCCAATATTTTTTTTTTTGTTTTAGAATCAATACAATGCCTATGTGGGCAATATAGACATACATTTATATAATATAGACATACTCGATTATAAAACGACTCGCATGCCTACAAAAATATTTAAAATAGTATAATGTATCCATATGTCCTTTGATATCCTACATTCCCAGTAGCACTGCTTAAAAGTTTAAAGTTTATAAACAAAG